ATGTATCCTTTTCCTTGATCAAGGCAATAATGCCATTTCTAACTTGTTCATTTCAACTGTGAATTAAAGTTCACAATTTAAAAAATCATTATTATTACATTCAACACTATTAAATTTTATCATTTGTTTTAAATATCAAATTTTAATGTTTCTCTAAAAAAGAAACCTTGGAAAAAGTCATCTCCTGCTTATATAATAGGAATATTATTTTGATACTATCATGTCTGTATAAGGAAGTAATAATATTTTCTATTTTCCATAGCAGAATAATTAGACTAAGAATTGTTCTCCTGATAAATTCAGAGTTTAGGTTTAGGTAATAGCTAGTGATATCTGTAATGACTCTGCCAGAGATAATATATAAATCAATCATACAAAATGGTATAAAGTAATTCATATTACGAATAGGTAACTTTCTCATCAAAAAAGGGAATGGTCAATTTTATTCATATATATGCTGTTATAATGTTAATATATGGAAAAATGAAAATTTTGAGTAGCAGAGAATTTAGTACCAAAATATCTGGTATTTTTATTATATATTATTCCAGTTAAATACCATACACAATAATAATGTCAATATATTCCACCCTAAATGCATTTCCTGTAAAAAATATTCTAAAATCATTCCATAAAAATCAATCTAAATGATATCAAATGAAGGCTCATGTTCATAAATTCGTTTATTTTAATCAATACCAATCTTTCTGTGTTCTTGTAGTGTAGTTTTTTTTTTCAATTTTAACTTGCCTAAACTACTTAATATTTCTTATCATTATGATATAAAAATACGGTGTTGCAGCAAAGAAGAATAAAAATAAAAATTGTCCTTTCTCATGTCAAACTCAAAATAAGAGACCTTAAAGGCATTCTTTTCTTTCATAGTAAGTTATGTCTTTTTTCCTGAGTGTTGTTAAAGACTAAAAACCTGCCTGCATGAGAAGTTCAGCCTGAAACATTTACTTCAGTAGCAAAACTTTCCAATACACAGAACTAATTCTTGGAAAATAAGCCTCTAAAAACAACTCACAGTGATGCAGGGATTAGCCAAGCAGAAAATAGAATCCATGTCACCATCCTCATGAAGTCAAAATGAAGTGGATTAGAACTGCTCTCTAATTGGTTTGTAAATGTCATTTTGAAGATACAAAAATTCCTCCCAAGTCCTTGTATTCTTTGGTGGAGGTGGTGGTAGGTGTTGTTGTTAGTAAAATTTAACTGTCCTCATTCATTTTTTATCCTAAAGTTACTCTGGTAAGTAAGTAAGGACAGTTCCATATCAGATTGCATATTACAAATGGAAATGGCTTTCTGCAGAAATGTGCAAAAGCCATCTAGAAAAGGTACAGTATTTAGCCCTGATTTTCTTGATTCCTTAACAGAGAGCATCTTCACTTTGTTGTTCACAAGGAAAAGCTGACAAAGCAGTCTCTTAATATAGAGAGTAGCTTGTGGATTGGTAAACAAACCAATTTGTTGGAGATTCAGGGAAACAAACAATGTATACGTAAGCTACAGTGCATGTACAATGTGTATCTTACAGAGAAATCATGATACAAAGTGAATTGTGTGATTTGAAATAGGAGGTATTTCCAAGGACATAAACCTTTAATATGCGTGAGAATAAAGATAAATAAATCATTAAATCATTTTACCCTGGATATACTTATTTTTGCATATGTTAACATTTAAGCACACTAGAAACAGCTCCTGAAATTGCTTATGCTAATGGCCACTGCTACTTATTTTAAAAGGCAATTCCACTTAAAATAAAACCTCAGGTTTCAAAACACCAATTATGGCTTAAGAAAGCATTTCAAAATCTACAGAAGTAAGATTTAAAAACTGTTTCAACGACTTTTTAAATTTATAAATCAATCAATAAAGCATATGCTTAAAATTCTTGAAAATATTGTTTAACAGCTGTTAGCCTCTATTGACCAATAACATAAATGTTCCCAAACATAAAAGACAGTTTTTATTAACTTTGTAAGGGGCATATAGAAATGAAATGAAAACTGTTTCGAAGAATAGCTGACATGGTGATATATAAGCTAAAGAGCCAATACTTGCTTCCATAAAAATATGAACTTTTCAATGACAGTTACTAAACAGAGCATGAAAGCAATTCATGGTTCAGGTTCTCCCTCATTAGATACATGGAAGAAAGTGCTACAAATATGTGATGTTAAGGGATGGTATTTTGTCCTTTGCGAATAATGAATCAAGAAATAAAAATCTCTATATTTACTTTGAAATCATTGTGGATATCATTATTTGAAAAAATATTGTGCAACAAATCTTAATGTACACTTGGATGTCATCCTAACAGGCCAGCAGAAAGTGACAGATATCAAAAAATATAACAGAATTCATACTAAACCTTCATCTTATTGACAGTAATAATAAACTTTTACAAAACCTTTTAGGAAATGTAATGCTATTTCAATTGGAATGGCGGTCATAAATAGAAAAGCTTTCAGAACTAAGCTTTTATCTACAAAATGAAACTATAACACATGCTCTAGGCTTAATCAGCCCATATTTCACATTATATTTGGATGATTTTGAATTGTTCAAATCTGCGACATGGAAGAGTTTTTAAAAAATCGATACAATGTACATTTCAAGATACACTCTGCGTAGAAATGTATGCAGAGTTACGTGTACTGAGTTTCTATGTTATAAAAAATTATTATTCATGTAGCTCCTTTTCATTTATATTTTCATCAGTCTACTTTCTGATTGTGATGTGTATATATATCTAAGATTTCCCTATTCTGTTGATTCAAAGGGGGGTCAGGAATTTCAAAAGCGATATAATGTACTTATTCATTGATTTATTGATTTATGTGAGTTTTTAGGGATTTATCCTAGTGCTTTCTAAATTCTAGACAAATATGCTATCCGTTGTCTACACTCCCAGTCTGAAAAAATATATTTTAAATTTTCTTACTTATGAGATGATAGGGCATACGGGTATACAAAAAATATTTAGAGCAAACACTTCATATAATGATAATAAATCACTACATGAGAATTTAATGAAATACAAAAGCTTATTAAGCTTTTCCTTCAAATCCATATAGTAAAGATATTATCCTCAGATTTTGGGCTTCACATTGTCATTACAGCTGTCCACTCTACCCCACCAGAATAAGAGAAAAACATGTAAATTAATAACTAGAATCAATAGCAAGGTAGAGAGCACCTGTGCTCAAAATGAACACACACATTTAAGACAATTTCTCCCATGGAACTAAAAACTGGGGAAGAAAGGATGTGGATTATTTGCAAAAACAGCAAAGTTACAGGAGACAGTTCTCAGCCTTGCATTATCCAAAGGAGGAGGAAAATTTCTAAGGATCTTAACCCCTCAAAATCACATCTGTCTTGTTATAATATAATTTCTGAAATATATTTGCTAATCAAGAGGAAGAACAGGGGCTTCTTAACTTATGATGGTGTTAAATCACAAAAATCCATGAGAAGTTTAATACAATTTTATAAAAAATTCATTTGTGGTTCAGGGTATGTTTCAATGACAGAGTATTTACCTACCTTGTGTAATGACATTGGTTTGAGCCAGGATATCACACACACAAAAAATGTATTCCCAGTTACTAACCAACCAAACATTCTAACAGTATATACCATAGATTATGGACTGTTTCCCTTCATCATGGTGCGACTGACCAGGAGCTATGGTTCACTAGTACTGTCCAATATTAAAAGAGAGAATCAAGCATCATGTCATTATCCAAGGAGAAAATTCAAAAACAAAATTCAGATTATAGCTTCTACAGAACACACATTCATTTTGCACCATTTTAAAGTTGAAAACATGTAAATAGAATCACCAGAAGTTGGGGATGATCTGTATATTGGTCAATTAGGTATGAGTATTTTCCTTCTTAAAGGAAATACTTGATGTAAAAGAACTGAATTTTTATTCTGATTTTACAACACTTTTCAAGATTTTTTTCTGGTTAATTAACCTCTTCCCTGATATAGATCTTCTGGATGACTTGATGCAGTCCTGTTAGAGGGTTCCAACACTGAAGAGCAGGCTCCAGTTGATGATAAATTAACCCACAAAAGGCTATATCTCCTAAGTCATTTCTGAGCTTTTCTTAATGGAACTTACCAACAAAGTTTAAAGATCTCCTGTTTTGGAATTGATTCAGTATTCTAAAATCTATTTAATACTTTGCTTCTACTATATCACAATTTCTGCTACTTTTTGAATGTGAGAATCCTCAGCAAAATAAGAATTGATTTCAATTTCATATAAGATGGGTTGCCATAAATTTTCTCACTGGCTAGAAGAAGAGGAGAGCTGACGATGCCATTATTTATCTAATCCACCCTCTAGAAGATAAGATTATTAGCACCACAGTGATAAGGATGCAAGTTAAATAATACCAAAGTAATAAAAATATAAATCTAGTGCTGCCTGTGAATTGAAGAAGCAGAAAATGAATAAGGATTACGGGGAATACCACCCCAGAGTGAAAAATTAAAACAGAAGCAGTGCCAGGAATAGATTTCCTGATTTAAATAGTGAATGCTGTTCCCTTTTATAGAGTATATGAAAGAAGTTGGCAGGAGGAGCTAATTAATTATAGCTAGTTAATCTATGAAATCTCTTGGTAAAATAAGCAAAACATTATTTATAATTATTTGGAGTCAGCATACTCCAAGTGCAGTTAAACTTCCTCCACAAAGCATGTTCTAAAGGCTTTCATTCTATTTTGTTTTTCCATAAAGTTTTGTATTTCAGTGTTAGGTTTTCATACTTTAAGAATTAAAATAAAATGTTGACCATTTATGGCATAGCATAAGAAGAAAAAAATACTTTATGTATACTTAGAATATAGGAAAGCATTAGGTATATATATTTCTATTTCATTCTTAGCCTATGTTAATGTCAGGTCTCAGACAAAATAACAAACAAACAAATTATACTACAAATATTGGTAGCCCAAAAATATACCAACCTTCAGGATCGAGTAATTTCTCTATGCCTAACTGACATTTGGCAATGTTGAATGCATGTTCCAGTCGTTGTGTGGCTGATTGCTGGCAAACACTATTCCAATCAAACAGATCTGGCCTGAAAAACATACATGCAAAGATATAAATATAAATCAATCTAGAATGTTCCAAGAAACACAGTTCAGAATTCTCATTGATGACCAAGATCTACAATTTTTAAGGATTATATATTTTCTTTAAATACTTTTCTTAAATCACAAACATAATTGAGAATAATTGAGACATTATACACCTTAGATGTGTTTAATTCTGTCAAGTGTACATAAGTAAACCTGAAAAAACCAAATTAGCAAAGAAAATAATCAGTTATACTTTATCCACCAATAAAAATAAGTTGCACTTATCTAATCTCATAGATTTACCCACCAGTTATTTACAAGAAACCCAGTTTTAAAAATTGTACTGTATTTTTTCTCTGAGTTTCATCTTAGATTCAACTGCATACTCAGTATCTCTACTTATAAAATAATCTCAAATGTTCAAAACTAGGGTTCTTCTACTTAACTTATGACATTTTAAAATCTTACATATTTCACTAAAAGTTTCTCATTCCTTAGTAATTAACAATTGCATATTTGTATTTCTCAGGGGAAAAAAACCTTCCAATCACGTTTTATGTCTCTCTCACACGTAGTTATGAATGTACGCTGCATTCATGCAAGCTGAATCTGATCACTTCTAAATATACTCACTGCCATCCCAAGGGGCCAAACTTTCATTGTATAATGAATTATTACACTAGCTTTATAACAACTCCTCATTCTCCCAACTTTGCCCTTATTAATCTAGTCTCAGCAGAGCCTCCAGCATGATCTGCTAAGATGTTTCATCTTATCCTTACTATAAAATCTCTACTACAGAGCAAGCAAAACTCAGACATTTAACTGTGATCTACAAGGCTCAACATGGTCTGGCTCCTCAGAACATAACTCTCTAATATTATTTCTTGCCCTACTCTTCATATTTCACAAACAGGCTAGACAGATTCCTGAATTTTCTGTTCCCTGTGCTTTAAATCCTTCTCTCCAGATAACAACACACTCACCCTTCCACGTCTTTTGGTTCTTTGCTCAAAAATCATATAATTGATATGAACTCTGCTAATATTTGAGGCCCCAAAGCAATCACACCACATTTTTTTCTTTGTCTTAACAACTTTATATTATTCTGATAAGCACATACTGGCAATTACCAAATTATTCAATTACTTGTATCTCTTTATCTCTTTCTTGAGAATAAAGACATAGAATTTTCACACATTTGTTCTCTACTAGAAACTGATGTATAGTAGGGGCTCAGTAAATATTGGTCAACTTCATGGGAAAATACATGAACATATACTAGGTGAACATCATTCTACTTGATAATACAGAAAACACAAGGGGATTTAAGTGGCAGTTGTTATCTTATGACAGTTAAAAAGCAATGAGGAAGAAAACGGATATATCATAATATGCTGAATATGAAAAATGACTTATAACTAGACATAATATATTTTAAAATCTGAAGATGTCAAGAAAATTGTTTGAGGTTGCAAATTTGACTTGGGTTTGGATTAAGAAAAGAAGTTGAGAATAAAATTCAAAGTGGTGCGACTACTGCAGAATCAAACAAACAAACAAACAAACAAACAAAAAAAACCCAGAATATTGTTAGGGAATCAAGAGCTACTCAAAGGCCTGGATGGAAAATTCTGAGTGTCAATTGGTGGGAGACATGACTAGGAAGGCCTGGAGTGAGTATGCATGTGACTTTGGGTTTTAATAATTACAAGTTACACTAACAACATTAATAACAATTAATGCAATAATTCTTCATCATCTCTGGATCACAGACATCTTTGAGAATCTGATGAGAGTTATGCAACTTCTGCCCAGACAAATACCTATCCATATTTCAAACATAATTATAAATATGTAGCTTTAGGGTGTATGGATCTGTTAATTGACTCCTGCTGAAGAACTCAAGTTGAAAAAATTTTTCCCACATATAAGTTATCTTTTCACTCTGTTGATTGTTTTCTTTGCTGGGCAGAACCATTTTAAATTGATTATAATCCCATTTGTTGATTCTTGTGTAATTGAGAATTAGACCTTGTGGTGTTATGTTTTGTCTCATTTGGTTTCTGGTCAGGAAATATTTCCTCTACCAATACCTTCCATAGTTTCACCATTTTTTCCAGCAGGTTCTGTTTTTTATATCTAGGTCTTCAATTCATTTAGATTTGATTTTAGTTCAGTGAAATATATGTATCTAGATTCATTATTTTGCATGCACTTAAACAGTTTTCCCTGGCCCAGCTGCTTAAGAGGCTATCTCTCTCCAATATTGTGTTATTGGCCCATTTATCAGATATCAGATGACTGTGATTGTTTGTAAACCCTCCATTTTTCATTGATCAAAATATTTGCTTTTGTGTCATTTAAATGCTATTTTATTACTGTAAGTTTGAAGTGTAACTTGAAATTCTGGATTGTAATTGTTTTTCCTTTGCTCTTGTTACTCAGAATTGCTTTGGCTAGTCTAGGTCTCTTTGGGATCAATATAAATTTTAGAAATGTTTTCCTATTTTTGTGAAAAAATGCTATTGGTATTTTTATTAAAATTTCATTAAATCTGTATACCATTTTGGTAATATGGCCATTTTGTGACATTATTTTTCTGTCCAAGAACAGAGGACACTTTCCCATTTTCTTATGTTCTCTTCATCTCTTTTTAAAAGACTACAATAGTTTTCATTTTCCAGTTTTTTCCTATTGTTTAGATAATTACTAGATATTTGACTTTTTAAAAGCTGTGGTGAATGGTATTCTTTTACTAGTTTTTCCTAATTTTCAGTGGGTTCATTTTTGATGTACAGAAACACTATTAATGCTTTCGTGATTTTTTTTAAAGAACAGAACAGAACAAAACAAAACAGTATAACGGTACAAGTAATACAGAATTACAAAAAAAAGTAAGAAATCACTAGTTAATAGATTACATATTGTCATCTTAAAAATAGTTGTTCAAGTTACAGGATTAAAGCATACAAAGTGTACATTCAAACAGTGAGACTGCAAACAGTTGTGTTCAATGATCCAACAAAAACTCAGGAATATGGTCATCTATCTTAACACATCTAAACACACTTGCAGTTGTATCCTTTAGAGCACTTTTTTCCTCTCTTTTTTTACAATAACATTTACACTTTTGGGTTTTATTACTCCCATAGTTCTTATTACTTATTTTGAAAGAGAATAAAACCAAATGTGATAAAACAAAGTAGTCAGTCAAAACAAACGATGGACATAGTACATGATGTAAAAACAGAATATAAGGTAATCAACAATGGTTACCATAATGCCTCTTACTATTTTAAAAAGAATTGCTTATATCATCAGGTACAATAAAACTGAACAAAACAGTACAGAAAAAGACTAATAAAACCTAAACATTGGAAACACTACAGGAATTCAAAAGAAGACAATAGTCAATAGTGAATCTTATTGTCTTCAAAGTAGTTGCCAATACCCTCAAACTTGATACTATCAGAGAGAATGGAACAGAGTCTAATCAGTCAAAACAAGATATTGGCAGTAATACAGCGCTTCAAATCAAGTTAATAGGAAATCAAAAAAAATTACTATAATATATTCTGCTATTTTTTTATTTTCCCCTTAATTAAAAAAATAAATAAATATTTTTTAATGAATAAAGGGGAAGATTGAGATAAAAGAGGACTTAACAACATAACAATACAGGTTAAAGCACGACAATTTCAGCAACCTAGTGCTTCACCACCAAATAACCGGACTCAATAGTAATTACCATAGTGTCTCTTTCCTTGAAATACTTGAATATAACTTCATATACTATAGCATCAAACATATCAAGACAGTGTGAAACGATGCAAGTGGACGAACATATTACAGGGTATTTAGAACCAGCTAATGGGAAACGAAAAAAGGTTTCTATATTATCTCTTTGCCTATAAAATTTTTTACACTATCACATATAATAAAATCCAGTAAGAACAACATAACAAAAACAATGGAGACAGAAGAGCAACAGTTTGGTGGGGCTTCAAATCAAGATGATATTAAATCAGCACTAGGTATTATGATGTCTTGTTTTTTTCAAAATAGCTGTTCATTTCATCATAAACAACAAAATCAAACACCCAGAATAAAACCATTCCAATTATTGAATAAAAACATTATAAGGCTTCAAAGCAATGTAATGGGGAATCATGATTACCACATACTTTTATGTATTCTTATCATTTGTTAGACGAGAAAGACTTTACGGTATTTACACATGTGAGTTTGATTTATTTCACTTATGAGTATGGTCTCAAGCTGCATCCATTTATTTATAAATGTCTCAATGTGATCCTTCTTTATAGCTGAATATTACTCCATTGTGAGATTTCATCTCACTCCTGAAAGAATGGCCAGGATCAAGAAAACCAACAACAACAAATGCTGGAGAGGCTGTGGAGAAAAAGGAATTCTCCTGCACTGTTGGTGGGAGTGTAGACTGGTGCAACCATTGTGGAGGTCAGTCTGGAGATTTCTCAGAAAGCTGGGACTGGAAGCCCCATTTGAGCCAGCTATTCCACTTCTAAGCATATTCCCAGAAGAACTGAAAGCATCATACCACAGTGATATATGTGCACTCATGTTTATAGCAGCACAAGTTGTAATAGCCAGATCTTGGAAACAACCTAAGTGTCCATCAACTGAGGAATGGATAAAAAAGTTGTGGTATTTTTATACAATGGAATACTACTCAGCTATAAAGAATGATCACATTGAGACATTTATAAATAAATGGACGCAGCTTGAGACCATACTCATAAGTGAAATAAATCAAACTCACATGTATAAATACTGAATAGTTTCCCTAGTGTAAGAAATGATAAGAATACATAAAATACGTGGTAATCATGATTCCCAGTCACACTGGTTTGAAGCCATATAATGTTTTCACTCATTAATTGGAATGGTTTTAAGCTGGGTTGTTTTATTTTATTGTCTGAGATACTTCAAATAACTATTTTGAAGAAAATGATAG